GGATGAATAATCAAGTCCAACGTAAGCTACATACGTCAGCGGATACAAATATTTCGTAAGTCCAATGACAATACTGATTGCTCTACAAGGAATCATTTGTTCCACTTCCTTTTCATTTGCTTTAGGGCTAATCGCAAACTTGTACCCAAGGATTATTCAAATTTTAATTTGTCTCTTCAAAATTTAAAAGTATTAATTATACCTGAAAGATATAAATTCATATTAATGTTCACATGGGACTACCTGCAGTCTATTTTGCCGTTAAAATTTTTTTGATTAATTATAAATTACACCCTCAAAATTTAAATATTTTATATTTATAATTCAAAAAGAATTTCATCAATTAATGCTCTTTAAATAACTCTCAATTGTATTGTATCATAACATTTTTGTGTCGTGTTTGAGTCAATAAAAACATATTTTTGTATCGAATCAATTGCGTTATGTCTTATATTTCACATTTATAATTATTCATATAATATTATTTAATATTTTAAAAAATTATAAAATACAAAGTTTTTGTGCAAAACACTCGTTAAATAGTTATTTCTTATCAATAATTGTGTTATTCATATCTAATTTTAATTTGATTAGATTGTCAAAAGATTTGTATTTAACTATAGATAAAAATAGCTATTTTAACGAGTATTGTAAGCAAAAAATAGGTATTATATAATTTTTTAAAATACTTTTATTGACTCGAACACGACACGAATATGTTGTGATACGATACAATTAAGAGCTATTTAACAAGCATTACGGGATGAAATTCATTTTGGGTCATAAAAGTGAAATATTTAAACTTTAAGGGTACAATTTATAATTAGCCAAAAAAATTTTAGCGACAAAATGGACTACAATTAACCCACGTGTACATTAATACGAATTTATATCTTTTAGGATATAAATTAATATTTTTAAATTTTAAGGGTACAAATTGAGATTCTAGTTTATTGTACCTTGAATGTCATAAAATGGTTTAAATGTGGTCATTGGATTAACATCTGTTTCAGATTCTATTAAAAATTAATTTACATGTCAACCAATGATATGAATGATGAATTTATATTTTTACCTAAAAACAATACACGTGAGTGACATATGCATCAATTTTTAACAGAATTTGAAACGAATGTTAGTATGAGCACAACATTAAAACTAATTTATGATATTCAGGGTATAATATGAAAAAAAATAAACTTTATAGATATAAAGTGAGAATCTAGATATCCTTCGTGATACAAAGTGCAAAAAAAACCCAAGAAAAAAAGCGACATTCGGTTAAAGAGAGCTTGACTAGGATTGACTCTCTCACTCTCTCTCCACATACATCCAACTGTCCAAGCAACAAATGCCCATATGTCCTCTGCTTGTATTTATTTACTTCCATCGTATGGGTTAGTTTTGTTCTCTCTTGTAGTAATAGTAGCACTGTTTAGTTAGAGCCTCGAGGTTTCTGCAAGAAAAAGAAAGTCTTTCTCGGTGAGTCTCTCTCTCTCACACACACACACAAACAAATGATTATAACATGTCGTGCATGATTTGGAGAATGTGAACTCTTGTTTCGTTGCTGATTTTGGAGTTTCTTTTAGTGGGTGTAACCTACTGTTTTTATAGAGAAAAAGAGGAAGCTTGTACCATTGTCCTGTGCATGAAGTTGTTTGCGAAGAATCACTTGTTTGGTTACTGAGAAAATTAAGAGGAAAGAAAAGTAATTCCGATATTTTTTTTTTCAATCTTTGTTCCTTGACTGACTAAATACTTGTAAAATGTTCAGTAAAGTTCTGCCTTCAATTTGTTTTTCTTTGCCCCATTGCTATGCAATTTAGCAGAGTATTACTGTGTTAGCTGTTTGATTGGACAGATGTACGAGTGTGAAAATAGAATTCATGCTATTACGTATAGATTTGTGTTAATTAATAGTTAACAGATGATATTCATCCTACCCCATATCATTGATCTGGATCGATTACTAACTGTGCATCTTGACTAGGAATATGATGGAAACCCAAAATAATGTAACTATCTGCTGTGATTATGCGATCTGATTTCTGAATTATGATCCGTTTATCCACTGGACAAACGGGTCACAACTCTTGAAGTCTGTAAATGATACTTTCGTTTTTACTTTACCTTTGTTTCCTTTTCTCAGTGTGTTATTTTTTTTTTTTTTCGCCAATCATGGCATTTCAACTTTTGATCTCTTTCTTGTGTTTGAGTTTACTTTGGGATGCTAACCTTAAATTGTAAAGATAACCGGAGAAAAAAAAAAAGAGAGGAAGGAGGGCCGTTGTTATGGCCCTGCTTGCATATAAGCTTCCCCCTTGCCTACTACACGAAAAATTAGAAAGAAAGAAGATAAGCTGGACAACAAGAATGAATACAAAAAATGCTCAAAATAAGAAGTTGGGAACTTTATGTGAATCTCTAATTAGACTATTTGTGTTTAATGATGTACTAAAATTCAGGTTTGTAATGGTATTTGAGTCTTATTTTATACCTTGTTGGGTTTGGTTTATTGGCTTGCTTATATAGTTCGGTTCATGTATGATGAGTTTAAAAGTTTATGCCCACACATTGAATAGTTACCCGAAATCACTAAACCTTGACAACCCATGATTTGGGTATAGCGATCCCAAATGGGGTGGGTTCGTGATCCAGTACACCTAAATGTCTGACCCCAAATTGTAATACTAATTTTAAATCGATTCGTTTTAGAACATATATCACATACATAAATAAATATTAATTAACTATTTGCGTATGGACGTATAATTATATATAACTTTAGATAATAAGAAATCGAGCACAACAGTGAAATAAATAATAACTATGTGTTTATGAATGTAGTATTATATGTAATTTACTATAATAGTGATAGCGATCTAGATAAGGTTTGCAAAACAAATTGCGACCCAAAATACTGTACCAATTAAACCGTACCAGTTAAACCTGCTTCCATCGCACTGCGAACTTAAAAAAGTGCCGTACTATGTATCCGTATTCTCACCAAATTGACCCACGATCTAGATAACATTGACCGCAACTTGGAAAATGTCCAACTCTTCTTGTCTAACCTAGAGCAAGAGACAAAGACTATACTTGATCACCGTGTTTAATTGGCTACTGAGTTCATTTGATTTTATGTTATGTGTGATTTTTCCTTACCCTTGGTTGGATAGGTGTGAATAATGTGATCCATCTTCTCTTTTCTCTTCGTCTCTCCTAATTCTCGGTACTTGTAAACCTCCACCAGATTTGATTAGCATACTAATTAACGGGTGGTTGAATTTTTGTACTCGGAATGTAAAGACAGAGAAAAGAAAGAAGAAGAAAAATCTAGGATTACAACTAGAGTTCTTGAGCACTAACATATGCGGCAAGGTTACTCAATTTAGGCTGAAGTATTAATATTGAATACCGTACCAAATATAATACTTGTTAGATACTTGTAGGATATACACCATGTCTCCAATTATAAAAAAATTTCTATTTATTTCTCGATACGTCTCAAAAATGAATATACGAGTGGATATGCATAACGTAATTTCAATTTTAATTTTAATCTAATATCTTTACTTCTCTAATTCACAAAAAAAGATCTACAAAAAGAAAATCAATATGACTTTGAATACAAGTGGATGTTTCTCGGGTATTATCTACTTCCACAAGTTGAAAAGATGTAAAATAAGTTAACTAACTCATCTCTGGGCAACAAGTAATTCTTAACGAATCATTTAGTGGAATGCTAGTTCTGGTTCCTTTAATTAGTGATGTTTGCTTTGTGAAATAAAATTGGTTATTTTATCAATTGTTATTAGGGATTTTACGGAATATAATAATTGTTAAATTGTCAGATAAAAGTAAAATTGCACAATATAATAGGTAGTAGATTAATCCTAGCCATATCTCTATCCTATTTTTTTTAGGTTTCACTGTATTACTATGATTGTCTCATATTGTACTTGTTTCCCATATATGTATCATTACTTTCTAGGTAATAATTAAGATTAGGTTGCATTAAGCATCGCACAAAGTTCCAGAAGTTTTGCATAAATATACTATTTTTAAATTGGAAAATCAAAATATAATTTTAGGCTGTTGATATTCTCTTAATTCCACTGGGACTAAGAGTAAGCAATGGGAAAATGTTTGCTATTGATTGTAAGACTATTCTGAGACATCTAAAGATAACACAATATGACCTAATAGGATAAATTGGCTCAGAACTCAACAACTGATGTCCAACAACTATTGAAATTACCTAAAGCACCTTTAATGTTTGAATTATGATGAAATTGAAGTAAACTGTTCAAGAACTTGCTTATGCTGAAAATGCCTACAAAATTAAACTTGATTCAAAGCAAAACTTGATAACATTTCAAATTTCCAATTTGTTTCCCGTTGACATGTTTTGGATGGGTTAGGGGGCTTCTAAGTTCAACAATGAAGTACGTAGGTTTGAGTTTTAGAGTAGTTATTTTGGGTAAAATTACCAAAAGTTAGGTTGCATAGTATTTTTTCGTATGAAAGAGGCTATTTTTCACATTCGTTGCATAAAATGACTGGGAAAACAATAAAAAAGGTTTGGGGTGGAGAAGGGGAGTTAAAGATCAATTTGAAGCTTCTTATAGCGACAAAGAGAAATGGCAAAAGAAAAAAAGAACCAAAGCTATAAACCATTCTCTGAGTGATATGTTTCTTTTGTTTTGATTAAGTTGTGTTCCAGCATTCTGTTGATACAAAATTTTATCAGGTGATCTCTTTCTCACTCTCTCTGATTGATGATCACTGATCTCTTTCTCACTTTCTCTGGTAGATGATCAGGTGATAAGTGTCATTGTTATTTGATGTTTTGTATCTGTTTCAGTTTTATGATTCTAATTTGCAATTATTCCTATTGATTCTGTCGCATTTGTGTCGGCCAACCTAATGTTGTATAGTTGCCACTACTGATATAGTTCTGTATGATGGACCGCAGTTAAAATTACTTAAGCTGGATGGGTAAGACGATTCAGGTGTATGGATTTCCTAGTCTTGTGCCTGCAGCAAGAGTTAAGAAATTTATAGAGGATCGTACAGGCAAAGGAACTGTGTATGCTTTAGAGGTGAGGGTTGCCAAAAAAAAGGCCAGAGCATATGCTAAAGTACAATTTACCAATAACAAAAGCGCTAATTACATCATCTCATTGGCAAATCAAGGCCTCTGGTATGAGTCTTCTTATTTGAAAGCTTGGAAAACGGGCCATGACATCATACCAAAGCCACGGACCTATGTGCATTGCATGGAACAGGTTACCCTACTTTTTGGGTGTCAGACCTCAAGGGAGAATTTTTCAGTTCTTTGGAAAAAGGCAAATGTGTTTGTAAAACTTGGGATTGGACTGAAAAAAATGTACTTCTTCCTATCCCATCTTGATGTTGGTTATAAGCTTGAGCTATCCTACGAAAACATCTGGCAAGTTGAGCTACATTGTTCACGTGATCAAACTGCAAAGTTTCTCCTCATTCAGGTTTGTTCCATTAATTTTCACCAATATGGCCATATAGGTATGTCAGTATTTCTTGTCCTTGTTCTTTTATATGTTGAACAAGTGGAATTCTTCGATTTTTGTTCTTAATTTGCATGGATTTCATAACTTGCACCTCTAGTTTATGTGGTGGCTTCTGTAGATGAGAAATTATTAGTGGCGAGCTAAATCTTCCTTCAAACTAAAGATGCATATCAAATACTTTATGAAAGGCTCAAGCTTCAAGTGTACAATTTTTCTGAACTGATTAACTTAGGTTAGAATTTTACCATTACATTGGTCGATAGACCCATTGATTTATGTGTCATGGGACTTTATTACTGGAAAAACGTTTCTTTGTGGATGCCATGGATTGTGGTGGGAAAATGAGTAATAGTCGATCATCCATGATTATGAAACCATACTCGTCAAAGTGATGTAATAATCGAGGTGCTTGGGAATAGAGAGGGAGGACTCTCGAGAACATCATGGGAGGTTGAGCACGTAGCTGAAAGGATCATTCACGTAGAATGGGCACAGGGGAGAAAAGATTTGCTTCTTCCATCATTTACTAGAGAGAAAAAAGCTTTCTTTATTTGCAATTATGTTCTACATGATGCAATGACATAGTAAGCGTCAAAACATCCTTATAATTGTGTATACTGTTCACCAAACACTAATGGAGCTTCCTAATCCTATTCCTAACTATTGGGATGAAGCTGATTAGCCATTTTGATTTGAGGACTCTATGGAATTTCGTCAAACATTATATTATTGTCCCATATTCGGTATCTTCATTACTTCGTTTTGAAGATTCAGGTTTAGTTATTTGGTTATTTGTTGCATCAATTTAACTTCCTCTTCTTTTTTGTCCCCCGGTCCTTGTTAGCTATTTATGTGCCAAAAGGTGCAACCCATGTTTATGGACGCCATGCAATACTTATGTATCCTGAAGTAATTACAATTCTCCCACCCCTTAAAAAGGAATCAACTGAAGCGAATGTATACTTTTCACCAAAAAGATGACAGGATAAACATCATTCACTTTATGTACTTAATAGGAAGCTCCACTCCCTCAAAAGTCTGTTAATTGTGCTCCTGCCATACACTCCACAGCATCAGGGTGGTCCCTTATCCAGAACACACTTGTTTCAGTCCAGTCCTTCTACGAACATCTTGTTAGCTTATACTTGACAGTGACATGATGCATGGAACCTGCAACATGATACAAACGACGTTCAACTCCCTTGCTAGTCCTCAAACAAATAGTAGTTTACTCTTTCTTTCCCTCTCTCGCATACAACATCTCATAGCAAGCAGTTGATACCCTCTTTTGCAGGTTGTTGTTGACAAAGACAACTTCTAGTATGGCTGTCCTAGCAAAAACAGTTTGTGTAGAAGGTGCAAAGTGCATCAATTTCGACCTCAGTGTGGAAAATGGTTGAATTTTGCCCACACCACAAACTGCCCTATAGAGTAATTTCATCTTGATCTTACTTCCCCCTCAACTAAACAGAATGAAGCATCCCAACCCAAGCCTCTCCCTAGACTCCACTTCCCAATCTGGAAACCTGAGGCATCCTTACCATTTCAGTTCTGAAAACCTCACTTATTCTGTTTCAGAGGTACCTCATATGATGCGATCCCAATGGATCTGCAGATCTGCTTCAATGGTTGCTTCCCACAGCAAACCTTATGCCAGAGCATGTCCCTTTGAACATTCCTTTTTGTATCCATTATATGCAGAAGTATCCTCATTGCCCTTAACGAATCCTTTGGGAACCAAATCCAGCATCATGTTGCTTGTAATTTCCTTGCCTACATGCTTGCAAGGAACTGATCTTTTATATACTTTATCATGCTCAACTAGGTTCGTTCAAAACCACTTACATTATAGAGCCTGATTAAAGTTCTTCTTTTTCCATCCCTTACTCATACTTCTGATTTGGGAACAAGCCAAACCCCCTCAAACCAAATGATAATGGGGCACGTCAATCACACTGACCCACAAGAAGTTCCTTTAGAGCTTATCCAATTTCTTTACAATCATATTGGGGGTAATGAACTCAACTAAACTCATTTCCAATCAGTCTTGTCCCAACATCGTTAGGGTTGGCTAATAAGTCCTATTAGTGTGCTCTTTGAAAGGCCATGCTTCCAGTTATACCATGAGCTATCCTATCATTGTTTATTGCTTTATTTAAAGTTAATTTTTGGTCTTCCTCTAAAATTTGGGTTAATGAACTAGGAAATGAAAAAGGCTGGCGGGCTAGACAACAGAAGAATGAGTTTACCCTACTTTGATTGACACTGTCATTTCCACCTTGCGAATCTTCTCCCAAACCTTTTTGGCTTTTGTTCCCTCACTACTTTAGCTTTCAAAGAAGACCCGAAAGGAATGCCTTTGTACCCTTTTTTTTTTTCAAGTATCTAACTTCCTTTAGGGCTTAAAAGAGGAACGATATCATTAGCAAACTTCCAAATGCAGGTGCTGAAATCAGCTCGCCATCCCTTTTGCCAACCAAGAAATGTCTTACCCTACGACTTTTAACTGTTGTCATTTGAGCTTGAAGTCTCCATCACTAAAAAATAAAAGAACAGATAATGCCTCTCCCATCTGAGTCCTCCCAAAATTGAATTAATCATCCTAACATTTCATTCATTAGAACAGATAGTCTGACATTAGATTTGCATCCCCTGATCCACCTGCTTCACCTCCCCCAAAAACCCCTCCTATGCAGCGTATTATTCCTTTTTATTTTCTGATAGGTTTAGTGGTTCTGAAAACTAACTTGCATGGTTATATGCCTTGGTGAAATCTTACTAGTGATGCAGTAAAATTTTCCGTGTAAGAAAACCTCTATTTTCCTTGATGGTGATGATTCAATGAATTTATTTGTAGTAGTGCAATGAAAAAATTACTAAATCCTGTGACTGATAAACAAAGTAAATGTTCAACGGTAATTGAGGACTAGATTTAACACTACTACACTAGTAAGTCAAAATACCTAAAAGGCCTTCAAATCTTACCATGGCTGCCCCAACATTATTGCATCTCAGCATTGTCCTTTTTGGATTCTAATGCTTGCAAAAAGACCTTTTCTACGTGCTCTCCATCAGGATGTTACCTCCCTCAACATGTCTTATCATGTGTTTTTGCTCATACATTGTATGTAGACTTGGTAATTAACACATCTATGTATATTCTATCTTTTGATCTAGTTATATGGCGCTCCTCGGATCTATAAGAAAGTTGAAGATTCTCTTCATAGCTATTTCCGGGAAACACCTGATGACCAGTGGGTCAGGACAACCGATTTCACTCCATCATTCTGTATTGGGCAATCTTCTGGTTTATGTCTGAAACTTCCTTATGGAATTGAGCTTCCAAATTTCGACGAAATCTTTCCTTACTATAAAGAAAGTGCAAGCCAATTTACATTGCTGAACGGTTACACCTTTTCGGACGGTTTTGATCTTGTCCCCATTGTGGGTCCTCCACAAGAACTTGAGTTGCCATATAAAATATTATTCAAGGTTTGTTCATTGGTTCAAAATGGGTGCCTTCCAGGACCAGCACTTGATATCAAATTTTTCCGTTTGGTCGATCCACGGAGAATGGATATTGGATGTATCGAACATGCCCTAGAGAAACTGTATCATTTGAAGGAGTGTTGCTATGACCCTGTAAGGTGGCTTAATCTGGAATACCAAAAATACCGCACTTTTAGGCGACTTCCTAAAACGCCTGATGTTGCTTTAGATGATGGGTTGGTATATGTACGTAGGGTTCAAATAACCCCATGCAAAGTTTATTTCTGCGGTCCAGAGGTTAATGTGTCTAATCGTGTATTACGCAATTATTCTGCATATATTGATAGTTTCCTTCGGGTTTCTTTTATCGATGAGGAGTGGGATAAAATGTATTCCACGGACTTATCTCCCCGTGCAGCTCCTGCAAATGAGGACAAAAGAACTGACGTTTATAAGAGGATACTGTCAATTCTTAGAAAGGGCATAGTTATTGGTAGTCAGAAATTTGATTTTCTTGCCTTTTCATCAAGTCAGCTGCGGGAGAATTCCGCTTGGATGTTTGCTTCGAGACCTGAGCTTACTGCAGATGATATTAGAACATGGATGGGTGATTTTCGTCGGATCAGAAACGTGGCGAAATATGCTGCCAGACTTGGTCAGTCCTTTAGTTCCTCCACAGAAACTTTGAATGTTGATAGGCATGAAATTGAAAATATTCCTGATGTTGAGGTTGTAAGAGGTGGTGTCACATACATTTTCTCTGATGGAATTGGGAAAATATCTACTGATTTTGCTCGCAGAGTTGCTACAAAATGTGGCCTTAAAAGTTCCACTCCATCTGCCTTTCAGATCCGGTATGGTGGATACAAAGGTGTTGTGGCTGTTGATCCCACTTTATCAATGAAGTTGTCACTGAGAGAGAGCATGTCCAAGTATGAATCAGAAAACACAAAATTAGATGTTCTGGCATGGAGCCAGTATCAACCTTGTTTTCTGAATCGACAAATAATCTCTCTTTTGTCTACCCTTGGGGTCAAAGATCACGTCTTTGAAAAGATGCAAAGAGAAGCAGTGCATCAACTGGATACCATATTAACAGATCCTCTAAGGGCTCAGGAGGCGCTAGATTTGATGTCTTCAGGAGAGAACACTAACATTCTCAAGGAAATGCTTCTGTGTGATTATAAGCCTGATGCAGAACCATTCCTCTCAATGATGCTGCAAACTTTCCGGGCATCAAAATTGCTGGACTTGCGGACTAGAACAAGAATATTTGTTCCTCGTGCAAGATCAATGATGGGATGTCTAGATGAAAGTGGAATCTTGGAGTATGGGCAGGTATTTGTGCAACTTTCTGGCACGGGACGTAAGCTGTTTGATGACTATTCCCTTAAGTACAATGGCCGTGTCTTGGACCAATGTAATTTCATAGTTGAGGGCAAGGTAGCTGTTGCAAAAAATCCATGCTTACATCCTGGTGATGTCCGTGTTTTAATTGCTGTTGATGTTCCAGCTTTGCACCATATGGTGGATTGCGTTGTTTTTCCACAGAAAGGGGAGAGGTAAGACATGATTGTGAAAACATTTAAACTATAAAGTTTATGGGTAATTTTTCTTTTATTTTAGTGTTTTGGTTTAAAAGGACTAAAGTGAATTATAGCTTATGCATATTTACATAAGAGTTACAATTAAGTTAATATATTCCGGTTGATATATATTTTCTGTTTGAAGATATGGAGGTTCATATCCTGGGAATTAGTGATGTCTAGATGGAAGTGCTTACTTGTGCTTTGTTCTGCTTTAAAATACATTATTGATGGATTTATGAACTAATAGTGATAGAAAGAATGATATGTTTCAATTGGTTACACATAACCACCCTTTGTATTTTGTCACAATGGTAGCTTTATGCACTACTACTGCACTACTACATATGTAGTATATATGAGTGTTTGAATGTCCTTTGATCTATCAATTTAATATTTGTGAGTACCTATTCATTTGTTCTGGGAGATTTAATTATGTTTTGGATAAATCTTGTATTTACCTGGTGATGTTTCTGAAAAATGGGGGTTATTTATAATTATGGCTTAATTGGCTTCTCTTTTTATGGCTAATTACATAGTTATTGACAGACATCTTTCTGTTAGCACTCTCTCTAACCCTTGGCGAATTTTAATTACAGACCTCATCCAAATGAATGCTCAGGCAGCGACTTGGATGGTGACATTTACTTTGTCTGTTGGGACTCTGATCTGATTCCTCCCTGGCAAGTCCAACCTATGGATTATACCCCAGCACCACCTATGGTGTTGGATCATGAAGTTACAATTGAGGTATTATTCACATGGTTAGATGTTGTAGTAGTTTGGGAACTCCTCCTGTTGTTCCTATAATGAATTATCCTTCCATTGCGTTAACATTTCTTATATCCAACTATGCATGTTTCTCATTTGATCTGTCTTTTGCTATTACCATTGACCGGTCCCCGACAAATTGAGGCTGCTAGAGGGGGTGGACTGGGTAGATCTTACCTCTTGTGTTTTTTGCTCAAAATGGCTGCCCTTGTTTTGAATCCACGGCATTGGAATTATTAATTGGAGCATCATCTTACCATTGCACTAGGCACTGATTTATTCTATGCTGTTAGCATTATTTTCTTAAAATTCACATATTTACAGTTTTGTGGCCTTCTAATTGTTTTTCGTCATGAAGCACAGTTCCACAATGGCTCTTGCTTGACAAATGATTTGTTTTCTCTTATCCAGCATGCCTTCTATTACTGTTAATTCCTTTTAAGAAGAAATTATTAGTGCCATACTTATCTGCCTTTCATTATATCAAAGAGATTTGTTCTCCCATAGCCAAATATGTTGTGAATACTTATATCTACTAGTGCATGCTTGTGAACAATATAAAAGCATTCTTGTATGTTATTGTGCGTACGTGCATGTTAATGTGTTTCAAATTCTTTCTTTGACGAAATTTTCTTAGAAACTCTTGAAAGTTGTGACTGATTGAAAATGGAACAGTTCTTTCTATTCTACATTCATCTGTTTTAATACTTTGATGTCTTAAATAATCCACCACTGCTTTCGAATGGAACCAGCTGAGCGCATATCCGCGCGTTAGGCTTCTGTTTAGAACCTTGATGTCTTCAAAATCAACCTTCTAAAATCAATAAGACCCTTTTTTCGTAAATATCCCTTTTTTATACATTTTTTGGCAGAATTTGAGTTGTTAAACTTGTACCATAATATAGAATGAAACAGAAGAGTTAGTTGTTTCACTCTATTGTGGAGAGAATTGAAGCAAAAGGAGGTGGACAAGGATGTACTTCTGAGATTTCTTAGGCATAGCACCTTTGATTTTGGTCTGAGTAGATCTCAGTTTAGTTGAGAATAATGTGTGTTAGATATCCCCTATTCCCTGTCAAGATTTCACTCCAGTAAAAGGGAAAAATTAATCTTGACATCTACAGCCAAGCTAAGCCTTCCAGTTTTGTTCTTTACTATGTTTTGTTTTGGTGTAATTTGCAGATAAACCAGCTGGTTTACGACATCATATTCTAGAAGTCAGGAAGCTTTTATGGAATACCCCTCCTAACAATAAAAACTACTTACAAGCAGTTTCCACCACCATTAAATGAATAGACAAATTCCCTGTGTCTACAACTACTACCACTAAACTAGCTACCTAAGATCCGAAGGGAATTTTGAAAAAAAAAAAAAGAAGCATTAGGCAGGATGGCTACTTTTTCTAGTAGAATTTGAGTAAAATATCTTTGAAATTCAACTGCTTAAATACTTCTTTGTATTAGTCTTTTTAGTGTCTTGTGCCATGGTGTCACTTTTAGATAAAATATCTTGGTTTCCTCTCCCAAAGACAGTAATTAACATTACTACTGCCCCCATCATCACCACTGCTGCTGCTATGAGACCATTTTGATTGCTTTCTCTTTATTCACTATGCATTTTGTTATGTTACGGGTAACAAGCAGAACTGCATCTGAAATAAAGAATGAACATGATGTTACCCTGGCTAGGAAATCTGGAGAAATCTTCTAGCTGACTTCACAGCAATAGGTTGAGGTGAAGTAGCTGCAGCACAGCTTCCTTATGAAAATTTAAATAAATGCTAAGGCACTTGTTCATAAAGATTTGGTTAATTTGGTTTCTCTGTTTTGGACAATCGATCAGATTTTCATATATTTGCTGCAGGAAGTCCAGGAGTATTTTGCAAACTATATAGTCAATGACAGTCTGGGCATCATTGCAAATGCTCACACAGTCCTTGCTGATAGGGAACCTTCCGAGGCAATGAGTGATCCTTGTTTAGAGCTTGCAAGGCTGTTTTCAATTGCAGTCGACTTCCCAAAAACTGGAGTTCCAGCTGAGATACTACCTCATCTGCGTGTCAAAGAGTATCCAGATTTCATGGAAAAGCCTAACAAAACCACCTACATATCAGAACGTGTGATTGGAAAGCTTTTCCGAGAGATAAAAGACATTGCACCAGACACAAACTCTATTAAAACCTTCACAAGGGAAGTGGCGGAACGGTCATATGATCCTGACATGGAAGTAGATGGTTTTGAGGATTACATTGATGATGCTTTTGATTATAAAACCGAGTATGATAACAAGTTGGGTAACATGATGGATTACTATGGCATAAAAACCGAGGCTGAAATACTGAGTGGTGGTATCATGAAAGTATCTAAATCTTTCAACAGGAGAAGGGATGCAGAAGCAATTGGTTGGGCTGTAAAGTCTTTGAAGAAGGAAGCCAGGACCTGGTTCAAAAAGAAAGAGAGCGACTCAGATGCTGGAGCTGATGATGTTTATGCAAAAGCTTCGGCTTGGTATTATGTAACATATCATCCTACGTATTGGGGTCGCTACAATGCAGGAATGGATCGGGATCATTTCCTTAGTTTTCCATGGATTGTTTATGACAAGTTGATCCAGATCAAGAGGGATAAATCAAGTCTCAGAAGGGCTCTCCATATGTCTTCACTTGAACGGCAGTTCAATTATGGATTGAGTTTGAATTGAGAACTTTTGCATCAAGCCAGTTCAATATTTTCCTAATTTGAAGAATGTGAAGCAATGTGATTTTATGGTTTTCCTTGACCACCTTAGCTAATGTATGGGTTTCTGTTCTATGTCTGATTATTTGAGGGTGTATATTGTCTGAACTAATAGATGTAAATGAGGAGTGTGTATGTACAAAAATAATAAATGATGTTTTCCTAATCGTTTTTCTTTGATTCTGCAGCTTTGTATTGGATGTTAAGCCCTTATTTATCCTTTTGCAGTTATATATATTCTTGTTAGCAGAGGCATGAAGAAGTTAGCACATTACATGAGAAGTTTACTATGCACATATGTTACTCAAGGAACATAAAGATTAGTGAGGGGTTTGCAATACATGTGCTCTAAAATCAGGTAAATTTTGGGTGCAGTCCCTTATAATTCTCATTGCCGGAACTTTCATGTGTAGAATGTGTGAGACTTGGGAAATGTAAATATGGAGATAGGTAAGTTGGACAAAGGGACACTAATACTGCGAGTGTCTTGTTCTTTCATGTCCGGCATTAATACTATAGCCAAGAGAGAATTAAAGCTATGTTATATCGTATTCTCTTGAATCAATCAATTTTTTAAACTCGTTTAAAAATGAGCCTAAAAAGACTCAGTTCGAGTTCGACTCGTTATGAGCTCGACTTATTCTCTAAACGAGTAAAATTTTAATAATTTTTCAAGCTCGTTTAAAGAAACGAGCTCAACAAACACAATTTAAACTCGTAAAATTTGACTTGATTATCAGCCCTACGATTAAATACCAAACTTTGTTTTCATGTGGCAACAATGATTGATATTTAATCTTCCGGGTGGTGCCCATCATTCCCGATACATAAAGGAAACTTCCTACTCCTGACCTTTTTCATTTGTCGTAGAATGATAATTGTGATCAATAATGAGTTATAATGAGCCCCATCACCCCTAGGATTTTTAATCAAGCACAGTTCATTCCTTGGAGACCAAGTTCTTGATCTCCAACCACAAGGCATTGGGGTTACATCTATTCTTCTGTTCTTAGTCCTTTTATGTTGAGTTGATAATCATCTTCTTTTTTTGTTTGATACAAAATGCAAAAAAGTGTTTCTAGTTATAGAAACAAAACTTTTTTGAATATAGGGCTGAATTATTTTACACGAAATTGGTCTTAACAATGAAGGTACGGTGTAATGTGAATGATTTTGAGAGAAATATTGGTGGTCGTTAGAAGAATCTATTTGAGATCGTCAAATAGACTTACTAAAACCCACTATATTATATAATATATATTGTTATATGGTGTTCAAACTTACACCAACTATTTCCTCAAGTTCAACAACTGACCACCATACCTTCGTCAAAATATTTGAATCTCTTAAAACACTCCACCCTGCAGTCCAATGTGTATCAAATAATTTTTCATATAAGTTCTCAAGAGTGTGATGACTTTTGGTTATAATAATGGAATATGTGTTGCAAGGACACCTATAAACATTTTTATTTTCTGAGGGAAATTATCAAAAGACTGATGCTATAAAACTTCCAACAATGGTTTTAGGTGTTCATCCTTTTTCATTAGAGATAATAGAACTTTGTCCATTGAATGCTTTTTGAAATTTTATCTTGCTCACTCAAAGGTTAAAAATCTCACATTGCAATCCAAATTCCTTTTAAATTCAAATTGATGGTGCCCGGATTTGCTAGCCCAAGTTTGGTACCTTTGCCGATTGGCCCGAAAGGAATGAATGGTAGATATGATGAAATGGCAAGGAATAGAACAGTAAGAAGAAATTTAGAACACAACGTAAGTGGTTTGCTTTAGTCAAGAGACTAAGGCTACATCCTCTGTAAGGTAGTCTCTTGCTCCTCAAGTTTATATATTACTCGATTTGCAGTAAGTACAAGGGTGTAGTTGGCTCGGGGCCTTTACAAGAAATGTGTGCAGATAGGCTAGGCTGCGTGATGACTCGATAGAGAAATTCCTTGGTTTGGATCTTGAGCAACTTGTGCCTTGGTTTGATCTCCCTCCAGGTGGTCCTCCTGGTGTAACTCCATCCCCTAACCATACTTGAGGATCCAATTTTTTTTTTTTTTTGAATGTAATTTCTTTGATACTTGTAAACATTCTCCTTTTTGCAATGAAGCTCCTCTTCTTTTTTGCAATGAATTGCTGCCAATCATTTGTCATGCTCCCTTGCCCCCTACTTCAAAGAGGCCTTAGCCTGTTTGGAGTAAGGTTTTTTATTTTCACTATCTTTTTCTCCCAATCTGCTTTATTCTAGGTTGCGTTGCCCCCAGCCCCAAGCGAGGACTGATCTGAGTTGTCCACTAGTCGGGGCTGAGCATCTCAAATCGAATCGAAGATGCTCGAGAGTTTGAGGGGTTTGACAGAGAAACTGCACGAATTCTAAAATCCTCGTTCTGTCGAGCCGAGCTGACTAGCTTTTAAGCTGAGGAGTTGTCTAAGGAGGTCATGATAGGTCATACTTTGCGTGAAGACCTAGGTCGTTCCTTGGCTGAAAAGGCAGATCATCCATTGGCTAACGTCGGTCCTTAGACGACTTTGCTCGGCTGTATACTTAAATGGTTTTATGAAACCTTCTTTTTTTTTAAGTTAAACCCATTTAGGGCAAATTTTATTAATAACAAAATTATAAAGAGAGAAGAGGACATAAACATTTCCCCTTACATAATAAAAGAACTTTAAATACAAAATAAAGTCTTAACAATGACTGCAAACGCTGCATTTTACAGTCAATGAAGAGTCCAGAGGATATGAGCTACCTAACAGTCTAGCAGAAAGTTAGATAAACAGTATCGTGAACAGTACTGGGCAGCTGAACATTAATCTGCTGTTTTCTTCGAATAACCCAACTGAAAGACAATGTTGAAATCATAATGGCTGCAAGAGTCCTTATAAAAAATTAATAATATCTAAATCCATAAGATTTCTTTGGCTTTGACAACTTGAACGTTCTTGATCTTGTCATAATTATAGGTTTGACTTTATCAAGTGCCAAAGACAAAGCAGACAACTCCTCCTCTTTTCTCTTCTTTTACATCTCAACCTTATTGCATATTGACAGTAACCTTTTAGAAGATGTCATAAAAGAATTGAAATCATTTTCTCGAACTACTGGTGCCTCATTTCCATCAGAGTAAAAACCCCTTGATTGCTCATGAAGAGTGGACCTCTTAACGTAGTCATCCTTTGAATAAACTCCTCTTAGCTGCAAGGCCTTTTGAATCTCCTCCCCTAACATGCTTGGAATTATCTCTCCTTGAGTATGAATATTTTTATGGACTGCTTCCATCATTTTCGGAGTAATGGACTTTGATTTCTCCCCGGCCTCCACTATTAAGGATTCAAAATCTTGTTTATAGTGACCATAATTCAACAAGGATGAGGACTCTTCTATACCATCGTTCGAGACATTTTCAGAAGAAATAGAAAATTCATTCTCATCCTCCTTATCATTTAAATTAACCAACTTATATGCAGCAAAATCATAAACAGATTTAATCATTGTTTCGGCATCATTGTTCTGATCAGGAGGACTGGCATCATTGTTTTGATCAAGAGGATTGGCTACATTGTTCTGATAAGAGGGTGTATCACATGTCGTAGCATCATTTAAAGACAAATTATGTGCCCCCTTATCCGAATCTCCACCTTCCTGCATTACTGTCGGGTCTTGCATGTCATGTCCATTGAAACCACCACCCTGCATGTCCTGGGCCTCATTCATATTATCTTGTCTTGAAAATTTTGAAACTTCATTGGTTACCTGTTCTGCATCATCATTCACCTCCAGAACCAAATCCGGATTGGTTACTAAAAGATCTTCAGTATCTCTCCGTTGAGCACTTTCTGTTTGCAAAATATTTTCTCCATTCTGATCCACAATATTCTTCCCTGAATGTTCCCCATTTTCCATACTTGCAGGCAATTTTTCCTTCTCCATATCCCTGACTATAATGACAGTTTGCGATGCCTTTCCAAATGTGATTGTTGTTTTTTTGCTGGATTATTGACTTGCCTAGGTTGTTGCTGCTGTTTCCATATTCCTTTTGATTGTTGTGCTGGCTTTGAATGCTTTGTTTGCTGTTGAGATTTTTCGTGATCCTGTGTTTCCTTAGTTATCTTCTTTGGGTTTGAACCTAGCTATACCTCCTTCCCCTTAATCTGCTCCTTACTTGCTTTAGCAGAATTATTTACTTCCAAATCCGGACTCTACCCTTGCCTGTCTTCCCCCATTGACAATACTTTCCTTTTCCTGCATGTTTCTTCTCCGTGTCCCTGCTTCTTGCAACTCTTGTAGTACTGCTTTCTTCGATCATAGATTATCTTTTTCCATCTTGCTCCTTCATCGCCCATTTCAATCCAAATTCTGTTCGGATTGTTCTGTAGTAGATTGACCTCCACGCAAACTCTAACCACTCCTGGTTTTGACATAGATAGAGTAGCCTGATCATAGGCTAAAACTCTTCCAATGGGTTTTACCAATAGCTTCAAGTAAGGTTTGTTAAAAAAGTTCAATGGTAGACCAGACAGTGAGATCCACAAAGGCACAATGGATGGTTCAATGCCTGGGACAAAGCTTGAGAACCATTTAAAAAATCTGAATAGATAGTCTTCTACCAAGGTTGCATCTTTGAGCCACGTCTTTACATAATCTTCATGCCACTCAAACCTAAGAAGTATGTGTCTTTGGTCCATGGATCCAACTTCAAAATCACCTTTTAGACTCCACTTTGATCTGATAACTTCTTTGATAATTCCAAGAGAGGGTCTTCCATATGAACATTTTCCAATCAAGGCATACTGGAGAGCTTGACTTGAACTTTGTATTTCTTCATTGGTGAAGTAGAAGACTGGTTCCCCTTGGTAAAAAACAACTGGTTTGTCAATTTTTTTGTGGTTGGGACATATCACTGGGCTGTAATGATTGATTTGTGAATAGTGAAGCATAAGTTTGAGGTGTTTTAGAGGATAAATCTGGTGGTTTTTGTGGGATTTGGTGTTGAATAGGTGAAGAACTCATGAAAGAGAGAAAATTCTAGAGAGAAGGCAAAGCTTCTCTCTCACAAGTCCATACCGTACTATTCTTTGTTCACTCTTTTGTGACTGTACTTTTCCTAAGTCGAAAGGTACGGATGAAAAGGCTCTTTAATGAATAGACTGATGGTCCACCAACCGTCACCTACCACTACACTGTTATTATTGATTACTGCCATGATTGCAGAAGTTTAACAGTCACCTGCATGTTATTTATTTCTTGGTTCTTCAAACTCTTCACGTTCTTACTACTATTCAAAAATTTTCTTGCTCTTTGCTCATTCTTTGGAGATCCTTTGCACTCTGCCTGCTTTTGCACTCTATTCGCTCATTCTTCTTGCTTTTGAGACTCATGACCTCTTCTCCCTCTCCTTTGTTCAAGCAACGCACTCGTGAAATGCTTAACGATTCCTGGTATTCCATTTTTTTTCTTTCTTCACTGCTCATTGCCGTTGATGTGGAGGAGGTGAAGAGGTTCTATGACTTCCCTAATGACTTGGTGGTCAGGGTTCCCACCCCTGACGAACCCTGCAACATCTCCTCCTAGTGAGAGATTTCCTTTTTCGAGGGCTCATTCGAGAAGGGCCTTCGCTTCCCCCGGACTTTGGGTGGGTTCTTTCTTTCCATGGGCTATACCCTTCTTGCTTTTCCCCTGAGGGGTGGGCCGCCCTGATTAGTTTCTTCATTTTCTGGCATCTTCAAGGCTTCAGTAATTTTTCCACTGTTGTCGAGTTCTTTTACTTCTTTGAGCTTTCATGGGATTTCCTCCCTTGCTTCAGTTGCTTCACTTGGAGGCGATTCTGCAGCCCCCTTCTGATCCCAGGCATCCCTAACTCTCCAGAGGGGTGGACTCAGCTCTTCTTCTTTGTTTCTAGGGACTCATGGGATTCTACCGAAAGACAACATTAGCGCCCTCAGGTTTCCCGCACTTGGGGGCACTTTTGCAACAAAGGTAAACGTTATCAAGTTTTGGTTAGTCAACTTTGTTTTGGGGGCACTAAGTTAGCTTTGACCCTTTCCGTGTTGTTTGGTGCAGGTACCCCCAGTTTGACTTCAGATGAGAAGATTAATGTTGACCAGGTGGTGCTCGCCGACCCGGTCCCATATTCTGCCCTGGTCACTCCTCAAAACTTGATCAGGTTCGGGATTTCAGGTAGCTCAGCTGCCATGTTGGACGTCGTTCCAAGGTTTGCCCTGCAATATTCTTCCACTAAGCCGAAGAAACAAAAGTGTCTGAGGATTGGCTCAGAATCTTAGTCACTGAGTTCTTCTTATGAGAAAAAGTCTTTATTTGTTGAGGTTGAGATCCTCAAGTAGCGGCTTTCTGAGGTTAAAGGAGAGAGGGATGCGCTGAAGGAGAAAAACGCCCATCTTAGAGCTATAAATGCCCAGTTGGAGATGGGTAACACCAAACTGAAGGGGCCGACCGGGGGGGGGGGGAGCTAGATCACTTCACTAAGCTCTATTTCCCATTTTACCAGTCTTTCAGAGGCCACCGACTTGTGCCGGACCTGTCTATTTGGCTATTCTGTCGGAATCTCAATGGTATGCACTTGAGAATATGACCTCAATCTTCGAGTTGCTACCAAAAGGGCTAGCACGAGCTTCTCCATCTTTGGATATCTCTCTTTAGCTCCTTCGAGGGCTTTGTTACAGAAATAAACCGGTTGGTGGACCCTCTCCTTGTCCTTTACTAAGGCAGTGTTGATTGAGAAGTCTGATATAACCAGGTAAAGGGTTAGAACCTCTCCTTCCTGAGGACTCACAAGTATCGGTGGTGCAACCAAATAGGCCTTGAGGACTTGGAAAGTCTCTTTGCATTTTTGGTCTCACCGAAAGGCTGTCTTTAGGACCTTGAAGAACGGCTAACACTTGTCACTAGAGCACGAGACAAATCGATTAAGCGCTGCTATTCTCCCGATCAGGCGTTGTACTTCCTGAGTGCTGGTGGGCGATTTCATTTCGAGGACGGCCTTCACCTTCTTGGGGTTTGCCTCAATCCCCCTGCTATTAACTATAAATTCCAAGAACTTCCTTGCCAACACTCCGAAGGTGTACTTTGTAGGGTTTAATTTCTTCCTGTACTGCCACATAATCTCGAACACCTCCCCGAGGTGTTGGATATGAGATTCGACTTTAAGGAATTTTATGAGCATGTCGTCTATATATACCTCCATAGTCGAGCCGAGCTTTTCACGGAACATTCTATTGAACAAACTCTAATAGGTGGCTCCGACGTTCTTCAATCCGAAAGGCATGACCTGATAGTAGAAGATCCACTGTTCTGTGATGAACGAATTTTTTCTTGGTCGCTCGAATCCATCATAATCTGGTTATATCCTGAAAAGACATCCATGAAGTTGAGGAGCTCGTGGCTAGCTATGACATCGACTATTAGGTCAATCCGTGGTAGAGAAAAACTGTCTTTGGGACACGCTTGGTTCGAATCGGTGAAGTTGATGCATAGTCGCCACTTGCCATTCATTTTCTTCACAAGCATGACATTGACCAACCTGGTCAGATAATCTACCTCTCTGATTGCTTTTGCTCGTAGAAGCTTGGCCACCTCCTCATTAATAGTTTTATGTCTGTCTGGTGCGAAGTTTCTCCCCTTTTGACTCACTGGTTTGCAGTTCGGATCAATATTAAGTCTGTGTATGATCACTGCGGGGACTATTCCTTCCATATCCTTCTGTTTTCAAGCAACAACATCAACATTCTATTTCAAGAATTGGGTCTTGGTACCCCTGGAGTTTCATCTGATTTTTGTAGGAGTTCAAGTGATCAACTAGATTTTTGGTCTTGTCGAACGCCTCTATTGATAGCATCTAGAATTTCTGGGGGAGGGAAAAGTGAAGGATCTCAGGAGCGAACAATGACTCGGTTTGCTAGACCAGAGCGTCCATGGAGTTGGGGGTCTTCTCCTTAACCACTTCTTTCATGTTATCCAACTCTCGTTGGAGCTCGCGAAGTCTTTGCTGCAATAAGTGATCTATAACATCCAGCAGGGGAAGGGATCTGTCTTCTCGATAAGCGGCTCTGGCCCGACCGTGGGCTTCGTCTTCAGTGTGTTCCTCCAGATGCGTCCTCTGGTGATTTTCTCCAGATTGGATGTGCTCATGGAGCTTCATGACTCCATTAGGCGGAGCTTGGCGTTCTTGAGGAGGGGCGCTGTGTTGTGCCGAGGGTGGAGGAGGATCATGATGTGTTGGCGGGAATTGCAAAAATTGGTGTGTATGTAGCCATGTCATCAACTCTTTGTTCTGCTTTATCAATTGCATCGTGGTTTGACGATAGGCTTCCAATTCATTGAGTGGAGGGAGGTCTACCACTGGGGGGGTGGTTCTCGACGTCCGTTTTGGGGGCTGGAAAGTTCTCTGATAAGATTTGGTGAACTTGGAGATTGGCGTGAGATTGACTCATATTCCAGGTCAAAACCATCAAACTAACAAGGATGTAAGAAAATTAGAAGGAAAACGATGAAAACCGTTTCTTACAGACCGCGCCAAACTGATAGTGCCGGAATTTGCTAGCCCAAGTTCGGTACCTTAGACGATTAGCCCAAAAGGAATGCAATGTAGATATGATGAAATGTCAAGGAATAGAACAGTAAGAAGAAATTCAGAACACAACGTAAGTGGTTCGCCTTAGCCGAGGGACTAAGGTTATATCCACTGTAAGAGAGTCTCTTACTTCTCAAGTTTATATATTACTTGATTTGTGGTAAGTACAAGGGTTTAGTTGGCTCGGGGCCTTTACAAGAACTGTGTGCAGATAGGCTAGACTGCGTGATGACTCGAAAGTGCCAATGTAGGAGAGATCCTTTACTGTAGCATAACAGTGTCTTATTTATACAAGTGATTCTTCTAGGGTTCCCTA